TTAAATATCCTTAGAATAATCAACATAGCCTTACTTCTTGTTCCTTGGTTGGTTGTGGACTTAGGGAAGATTCGATTATTCGACAGCGTATCTGACCCTATATTGTGTACAACAAGCATGGACAAAAGCAACCAGTGATACGGGAGTGAAGATAATCCTAGGAAGAGTGTCTAGGAAGTTAGCTATAGCTCGTAGGAGAAGTAAGTGTTCGCACCTAGGAGTGCTCTAGTGCAGTGACTTAGGACCTTGGCAGCTCTGAAAGAATAGGTCTAAGTGAGGAGGAGATCTACGGGATCATTGTTACCGTAGTGGCCTAAGCGATCAGGGAGGCGACTCTAGAGTTTTTTGGGTTGGTCAAGACTATGTTGATCGAGGAGTTTGACCAGCGATATGTCGCTGTCACACGGGTAGCTATTGTCGCAGCCACCACAATCGTCGCCATTGCAAGATCTTAAAGATGCAAAGCGATGTAGTACCAAGAGTTAAGTTATATGAAGCCTCTAGAGTTTAGAGGCGAAAGGGACCCGATCATCACTTCGAGATGGATTTATGACGTGGAGGGATGTTTCTTCACGTGTTCTTATCCCAAGGTCAAGAATGCTAAATTTACGCTGAATCTTCTTCATTGGGAGCGAAGGATTGGTGGGAGTTCGTGACCCAGGGCTTCTCTCATGGAGAGCGAGCCGCAATGACTTGGGAGAAGTTTTTGGATATTTTCCAAGTGGAGTATGTTCCTATTGTTGAGCGGTAGTAACTGTACCTGTCACTTAAGAAGATGACTAAATCGGTGACGGAGATCACCAAGATGTTCACAAAGAGAGCTCTTTTCTGCCATGAGTATGCTGGCAAGCGCATATGTCGCGATACTTGAGTATGCTTAAGAAGAATATTCGAGAGTTTGTATCTACTCAGAAGTATCAAACCTTGACCAAGATGCAGTCAAGCGGCAGTAGGAGGGAAATTGAGTTGGAGATTTAGCAGAAGGAGAGGGAACAGTTGCAATCTAGTATCAGTCGGCGGCCAAGCATGTCAAGTCCACCTACCCGGGTTCAGGATCAATTGAGGGGAGGAGTTCCAAGTATCATAGGTGTGGAAAGTTTCATGATTGCAGCTGTCGATAGTTTGTATGTTGCAGGTGTGGCGAGGAGGGTCATTTTGGTAGGGATTGCAGGAGGAGTTTGCGAGCTAGTTTCCATTGCGGCCAGGAAGGCCACATCAGAGCTTGTTTTCCCTTTATCATTTTTGATGAAGTGCTAGATGCTGCACTCCTAGCTTGGCAGATACCTGATGGTCGTCATGGGACGGCCGAAGTGCCGTAGACTAAGGCTTGAGTTATTAGTTCTACTATTTAGCAATTGCTGCAATATTGGTATTGATCTATAATTCATGTTTGTGTTTCAAAGTTTAGTTGTAATCTTGTATGATCAGTGAATGCAATTATCTTATTCAGTTATGTTGAAATTGATTTCTTCTTATGAATGGATTAATTATCATTGTCCTCATAATGAACGCATGTTGGAAATTTATGAATGTTGTGTGGGTTTAGATTCTCCTATGTATCAGGATATCAATGGTTAGGATCAAGTGGTAGAGTTCAAGTTATTTTGAGTATTGAAGGATTGTGAAGTTGTCAGATTCTAACATATCTCAAGTGGGGGAGAGTGGAACCTCGCGACAAGAAGACCTTTTGCCAAGGTTTGGTTCTTAGTCGGATTTCTCCAAGTTCAAGACTTTCGAGAAACCGTTGGATCTTCCTATTTCGCATCAAGATCATCGCCAACTATTAGAATCTGTAGAGCGTGCTTGTCCTTTAGACTATAGGGTGTTAGGAGACCAGGTCGAGGGATGTGATGAGGGATTCCTTATATACTCTTATTTGATTAGGGCGTAGAGGTCTGAGTCACGACCCGAAGACTTGGTAGGATCAGTTAAGTCTTGTTGAACCCAAGTGTTGTTGTTAGTTAGTGAATCGGGGGTAAGCCCGAGTGATGTTGTCGATTAGTGGATCGGGGGTAAGCCCGAGTGTTGCTATTGTTGGTTAGTGGACCAGGGGTAAGCCCGAGTGCTATTTTCGATTAGTGGATTGGGGGTAAGACCGAGTACTGTTATTGGTTAGTGGATAGGGGTAATCTCGAGTGTTATTATCTAGAGTATTTTCAGTAGATAGCTAAGCTAGATTGTCAAAGCCAAGTAGGAGTGTGGACTAGCTTAGTATGTGACCTGTTGGTTTTAGTCGCAATGGGCACTTATGTGCAAGATTAGCATGACCACATTTGGATGAAAATGTATTGAGCTGATAAGGTGTACGAATTTTTGGGTAGTTTGGTTGATGTGAGAGGTTGCATCATGAAGTGGAAACGAAAGCTGATTTCGAGGACGAAATCTAATTTTAGTGGGCGGGGGGGGGGGGATTGTAACATCTTGTTTCCTATCATTTCTTATATCAAGGCCGTGGGTCGGATGCCGATTATGTAAAGGATTTGGGCCTTAAGGAGGTCATGTTTAGACATTTAGGAAGGAGGCAATGATGGTTGCGACATCTTAACCTTTGAATTGTGTTTTGGGAAAAATGGTAGAAAATGGAAATTCTTAGGTGGGGTCTTGCATGAAATATGGATTTTGTTCGAGAAGTTTTTTGTCCAAGATAACTAGATAATATTGTTGGACTCTTCAATACCAATCCGAGGATATAAAGATCGTCGAAAACGGAGTTGGAACGAAAAAGTTATGACCGTTAGAAGTTAGGTAGGTTTTGGGTTTAGCCTAGTAAGTTGGGCGTATATGGTGTAGGTTAGGCGTACTAGGCAAAGATGATCCTATAGATTCAACCTGCTATGTTGGGCGTACCAGGAGTACGTTGCCTCATTACCCCGCGTCCCTTACTTCTAGAACATGTCACGCGGCCAATTCTTGTGGAACTACATGTCGTAGCCATGTGAAGCCACGCCACCTTGACATTTGGAGGAAGGGAGTGGCCGACTTGCTACATGGAGCTCTCTAGCGCTGCCATGTCATCAGCGCGCGTGGCGCACTTCGCGCACACAATTTTTTTTTTTTTTCAGATTTTCAAAATGTCGTAACTTCGTCTTACGAGCTCCATTTATGATTTTCTTTATATTTTCAGAAAGTTCTCGACAATATCTACAACTTTCTTTAGATACCAACATCTAATTCTCATTCCATCAAAACTTTATATTTTTTATAGGCTTAGACTGTTAGAGATCGTTGCAGAAAGCATACTTATTAAAGAGATCTTATTAAAGAGATCGCGCACACAACATCTAATTCTCATTCCATCAAAACACGGACTCCGTTATCGATGTTCCTTATATCATTGGATACTTATTAAAGAGATCTTCAATTCTCATTTAGATTTTTTAGGGTAACAATCAACTGATCTAAAAGTCGATGTCAGTGCGCACATTGTTGTGCTGAATTATAGAAAAATCATAACTTCCTCTAATGAAGTCTGATTTAGACGTTCTCTATATGTACACTTTCGGTTTAACGACTACTACGACTTCCATTTAGACCACTTAGGCTAAAAGGTAACTTATAAAAAATTCACTTTGTATGATACGTAAAGCCGTGTTGGTTGAATCGCGAAAATTCAAAAAAACATAACTTCTTCATACGAAGTTGGATTTTAGAGCTCTTTATATGTATGGAATCATTGCCACACATATTATAACTTGATTGAGATTATCTATCCTAAATAATCTTCTATACAAATTTCATTATTATAGTCTATTCTATTTTAATTGACTACGGAATCTGCTAGTGTTACATGGGGTGGGGGGGGGGGGTACCCCACTATCTCTCTCCTCATGTAATTAGCCAGTTTTTTTTCTTTTTGATTTGAATGCAACTGTTATAAGAAAATATTCTCCCCTTTTTTCTATAATAATGGTTACGAACACTATATATATATATATATATATATATATATATATATATATATATATATATATATATATATATAATTTTAGATTTACCAATCTATAAATACCAAACATATTTTTTACACCTTTTCTATACTTTCTCTCAAAAAACCAACTCAACCACAATGTCATCATCGACATCTTCATTATTCGATTCGATGGAGCAAGAAGAGGCAACATTTTTCGGTTGCATCCTGGCAAAAACACTGGCGTATTTCGAAAACCAACAAGGACAAAGTCCACGTTCACAACCACAAACAAGAAGACCTCCGTTGAAGAGAGATTATGAAGCCGATCACAATGTCTTATAGAAGACTATTATGCATATGACGCCGTGTACGCTTTAAAGTTTTGACGTCGCTTTTGGTTGAGGAAATAGTTATTTTACGTATTGTTGGCGATTTAGAAGACTGATTTCCATATTCTCAATTGAAGCAGGATACGAGAGGCAGAAAAGGTTTTTCTCTGATTTAAAAATGCACGACCGTAATTCGTCAACTAGCATATGACATGAGAGCATATAAACGATGAGAGTATTTGAGGATATCCAGGCATACCACACAGGAAACTGGTTTCAAGTTCGCGAAAGCTATTACTTTGGTTTATGGGGAGTGATATTTGCGGAAACCGACAATCAGTGATGTTCACCAATTGCACATGGTGCATAAAAATAGGTATGGGTTCCTAGGAATGTTAGGTAGCATCAGTTGCATGCACTAGTCTTCGGTATTGTTCCCCAACACGTGGCGTTGTCAATACATGCAAGACGATCATAGAGAGTCGATGATTGTTCTAAAAGTAATCACATCACATGATATTTGGATATGACAGCATTATATGGTCCAGCTAATGTAAACAATGACATTAATGTTCTCGATCATTCGCTAGTATTCAATTATATCTACCTTGGAAAGTCGTATGATGTACCGTTTGAAACAAATAGGGTAACATAGAAGCGCATGTACAATCTTACTAATGGGATATATCTTACATTATTTGTTTTTATGAAAACGATCATTTTTCCGACTGATGGAAAAAGGAAAAAGTTTAAGTAGGCACATGGGTCAGATAGAAAGGACGTGGAGCGAACATTTGGTATACTCAAGAGGAGTTGACAAGTACTACAAGTCGGGGCACGATCATATGAACTGAAAACGTTGAACGCGTAATATACACTTTCATCATATTACATAATATTATTCTAGAAGATGAAAGGATGGCAATATGTCGATACGAAGGAAATGAAGTTTTGCCAAACGTCGAATGATTAGTTGTTGGTACGCAAGCGTATAGGGAAAATAGAAGAGAAGTACATGATTGTGAAATTCATCACTCCCTTCGTGCGGATTTGGTGGAGCACATTTACAGGGCTCACATACAACTCGAGGCTGAGTATTGGCATGATGATTTGTTTGACGAATCAGATGAAGATTCATATATGATCGTCGATGACTCAGGCAATGATTCAGATAACGAGGACGGCGATTCAGAGTGACGTACCTTTTTAATAACGGTTTATTATTTTTATTATGTAATTTTTAATTATGTTTTCTAGATTTTATTAGGTAATTTTTATTTTTAAGTAATGAAATGTTTCTATTTTAATTAATTTTTGTGTTTATTAATCAATTTTTAATTAATTCTTTATATTTTTTAATGTTAGAATTTAAAATTAAATTAAATTAATTTTAAAAAATAAAAGTGAAAGGTAACTATTTCCTGGTTTTTAATGAGTCAAAGGTGAATAAGTAGAAAACTGACATGACCTAAAAAAATAAATGGTAAGATGTAAATACACCTTCCGGTCTTGGTCTTAATAATAGGGGTATTCGAAATCAGATATCTAAAATTCTTAATTATTCATCACCACCAATTAAGCTAACCTAACATTATATCCCAAGCTCGTCCATCTAAGCCCTTTATCCTTGTTAATGTTAATAATCTATTAGTGCTGATGTTAATAGTCCACCTTAGCCCTTTATCCCTATTAATAACCTATTAGTGAGGTTAATAGGAAATTTTTTTCTTTCTTGCTTTCAAACGTGAGAGAAGGCTCACAAACATTTTTTATAAACAAAGTTCCAAAGCTCTAGTCAAGCGATTTAATACCATCTAGCGATTTTTGCAACATTTTTATCACCAATTATTCCACGTACCACCACCTAGAACTCACATGCAAGTGGCAAGCTAACCCAAACCGCCTATCATTCTGTCCAATTCAACCGGCTACCAGTTAAGTGTCCGGTTTTCAGCAACTGATATTTTATATGTTATCGAACCTAAACTTGACCGGTTCCAATCAAACCAGTCAAGTCCAACTTTCAAAACATATCGATTGTAAGATGGGTTAATGAGCTAGGAGAGTAATAAGGTTTTAACTTTGTTCATATTAGAACCTTAAGGTTTTATTTTGTACATATTACATCAATATGGTTATTATAACCGTTTACAAAAGGTAATAAGGTTTTATTTCTATCCATATTATGTCCTTAAGGTTTTTTTTGTATATATTACACAAACATTGTTGTTATAACAGTTTAAAGAGTGGTAATAAAGTTTTAAATTTGTCCACAGTAGGTCCCTATTTTTAATAGTTTCATCATTTTATCTAACTCTTTTACAATTTATATTATTATCTAGTTAGATACCTTCATCATTTCATCTTCTCATTTTACTCGCTCATTCACCACAACAACGGTTTCAATTGAAATGTTACATAACAATTTTTTTTTGTCATTTAAAAAAAAAAAAAAACTAATAATAATCAAAGTTTTAATGATTAAGTTTATGTTTGGCGCGCCATAACTAGTTGATAAGCTAGTTTATTTTTCAATCTTTTTTAAGTTGTTATGTTTCGCAAGCCAAAAAATAGCCTATAAGCTAGCATTTTAAAAAGCTACCTAGATTAGTTTTTTTTTAAATAATTTTCAAATATACTCCTTAATTAATTAAGAAAACATATTTTTTAAATGCCTTTTATGTCATTATATAAATTTCAGATACTTATAAAACAGTGGCGGAGCCAGAGTCAAATTAAAAAAGTATCCCCTAAAAATAATGGGGTATCCCCAATAAGTAATGGCGTATCGGGATACCCTATTAGCAGAGCCATTACTTATTGGGGATACCCCATTATTATTCGATGATACTCTTTTACTTTAACCTTGGCTCCGTCACTCGCTTATAAGCTATCTGAAATGTATATAATGACATAAAAAGACATTTAAAAAATATATTTTCTTAATTATTTAAGGGGTATATTTGGAAATTTGTAAAAAAAAACTAGTTTAAGTAGCTTTTTAAAACACTAACTTATAAGATCAGTGAGTGGTGTGGTTCCTGCAGTTTTGCCACCGTGTCAGCCAAACACCGCCCATTCAGTGTGGTTAAGGTGCGGCTAAGGCCGCTGTGTGGCAATTGAATGGAGTACTTGGTGATGGTTTGTGATTGTCTTGTTCCAAATGGTCGTTTTTCAAAGTTTTTTTTTTCTCTAATTAACTAACTATATATATATATATATATATATATATATATATATATATATATATATATATATATATATATATATATATATATATAAAAGGTTTTAAAGATTCGAAAACAAAGCCATTTGAGGCTAGGAATTGAATTACTGTAAAAATTTCAAGTTCTACGGGTTAACAATGGAGGAAATCAGGCAGTAGGAGCTGCGATTTTAGAAAGAAGACATCCTATTTTCTGAATTTGGCATAATAGGTCCCTAGGGTTTGGTCTACGAACAGAAAAAAAAACCCTACTAAACTTCTCTCTACATAATTAATTTCAGAAATGACACAATCTACCATTGACTGATAAATCCAAATTATTTATTAAAAAAAAAAAAAAAACTAAAAGTGTGGCACCACTCCTTGTGTGTGATATGAAACCACACTTTTGTGGTAAATGGTGGCATGGCTTTTACGTTGCAATGCGGTTTCATAAAAGAGTGTGGAACATCTCCCTCAAGTCCAATTTATTTTTTAACTTGCCAAACATTACAACTTAAAAAATATCAAAAAGTAAACTAGTTTATCAGCTAACTGTGACGCGCCAAACATAATCTTAATCATTTAAACTTTGATTATTATTATTATTATTTTTTGGTAAAAATAACAAAAATTGTTATGTAACATTTCAATTGAAACCATTGTTGTGGTAAATAAACGAGTAAAATGAGAAGATTAAATGATGAATCATCTAATTAATATAAACTGTAAAAGAGTTCAATAAAATAATAAAAATATTAAAAATAGACACCTAATATGGACAAAATTAAAATTTTATTACCCATTTTCAAACGATTATAATAATCATATTGGTTTAATATATATATATATATATATATATATATATATATATATATATATAAAATTGAGAAGCTAATATTGACAAAATTAAAGTTTTATCATTTTTTTTAACGGTTATAAAAATCATATTGGTAAAAAAATTTAAGAATCTAGTATAAATAAAGTTAAACCCTTATTAGGTTTCTAGATCATTAACACATCGTAAGCTCCAAAATGATAACACACTAATTTACATAAGATTATTAGGGAAATAGAAGATCCAGAAGATTTAATTATGACCTCACATTAAAAGTATAATGATGTCAGATAAGCGTAAGAAGAAATACACCGACGGCTAGGATTAAAAGGCTTTGAGCTGCTCAACTTGAGAACAGGATGTAGATGGCAGCACGCAGCACAACAGTAAGGCTTTTGGCAACTTTTGGGTTTTCAACAACTGGGCCCTTCACCTTTATTAAAGTCCAACTTCTACCCTAAAAGTCAACTACAAAATGTATCAATCATATGCCAATAAATACATTTTTTTACAAAAATTCCACCATCATTTAGAAACGCGAAAAGGAACTGAGAAAGGGTTCTGGGCATGAATTTTTGTACATATATATTCTAATATTCTAATAATTATATATAAGGCCATCTAGAGTACTTTTAAATATATATTCTAATATATATAATTATATATAAGGTCATCTAGAGTATTTTTAATGGAGGGTTGGCTGTCTACATGGCACCTAACCATAATATAAACATCAAGTGCTTAGTGGTGGCGAGTGATTATAGTGGAACCATTTATCTTTTTTTTCTTTTTTCTCTATTTCTTCCATCTCTCTTTACATTTTAAGTAATTAAAAGATAAATATTTTTTATTTAAATAACTAAAAAATATGAGAGATATAGTTGTGTGTATGCCAACCTTTAATGGTTGTGTGTGATAATGAGGTAACACTCATCATATTAACTAGATGAGGAGCCCCGCGTTGCGGGGATGGAGCTAAACAGATATGATCGAGGGCATATGATTTGAGTCGGAAAGTGAGTCCATTCAACTTCATTGTCCTCTTCGCTTACCAGAAAAACAATAATGGACACTTGATAGAATTAGAATTTACCGTATAAAGTTCATTCAATACTTGTCTATTGATGTTTTTTTCACCTTCAAACATAAGTCGTGAAACAGGATGCTAATCACCAAAAAGTTGAGCAAATGCTATAACTGATACATTGTTGTAATAGGAGGAAATGAAAAAAAAAACAAACAGAAGTGACAACAAATAATGAGCTCTTTGGGAATCTTTTCATATCCATAAGTAAAAACATGTGGCTGATTGCTAACATAATCAAAACTTTAAGAAACATTATAAAAATATATAAAAAATCAACAGAGTTTATACCAGTCGGGAATAACATGAATAAAAACTGGTAGTTTCTCCTTTATCATTATAACACAAGGTGGATTAATAGAGGCCTGCAAGTTTGTGATATTTTGAGCTCATTAGAATAAATAAGTAATGGAATGAATATATCAGCTGCAAAGGGTAAACTCATCATTTTTGAAGTTTTATGCAGCTGGTTGTAATTAACAACATAAGGAAGGAACGTACATGGAGGAAGGCGTGCCAGATCGATTTGAACCAACTCAAATATATGAACAAACTGTATATGAGCATAACAATCAAAGATAAGTTTGAATGAACAACATATATATGCGCATAACAGAAAATAAATAAAATCTAAGACCTTAAAATGAATATCATTACCAACACAATTAAATTTTGAATTGAAATCATCAATTGCATCTTGTTCTTTGTAGCTCTTAAACCCTTCGATGATGACCTTCAATAAAGCATCACCATTTTAACCTGAACCACATATAAAAAAAGGGTTACCAATCTAACCAGTATTGTATGTACAGAAAATGAAAGCATTGCCCTTACGTCTCATGCATATTGGATTTCACATATTTACTTCCCTACCTTCCCCTTTATCTTAAAAAAATTGATAATCCATATCCAAACACTACAGCAAAACCTTCTTGCATTAATAGGTTAAAAAAATTGGTATTACTTTTTAATGAATCGTAAGCCTAATAATACAATAGATAATATTTCCTTGATTTTTGAAAAAAATATAATCATAAATTGTACTTTTTTTTTGTTTAAACCATAATCAT